TGAATGTAATGATGATGAGGGTGGTATTAATGATAGTGGGGATGATGATGATGATAATGCTGATGCTGAATGGAATGATGATGAGGGTGACCCAGTATTAATGATGGTGATGATGGTGTCCTGTCAATGGTGATGGTGGTAATAATGATTGTGATAAAAGTCGATTATAATAATAATTGAGATGATGATCTCGATAATATAACAACCATAATGGTAGTAATAATGATTGATTGTGTTATCAGATTCAAGGGAGTAGAGTACCAGTCCACATCGTGTCCTTCAACTGCAACACCCCTTCAACTATCTCGTACTTTAAAGAAATCGCAAAAGACRCCGGTGGTAGATTTCATGCGTTTTCTGTATCAGACGAGTATGATGATACCCTGGCAAATATCCAGAACACTATGGATCATGATGTGGGTGATACTCCCAGTGGGCGTGGCCGGGGTGATGGTATGCCCTCCATTAAGCTAGGTGTAGGAGTACGTGAAGATGTGATTACTTTGTGGCAAGAGTTGGATGAAGCAAGAAACACGCTAGCTGAGATTCAGGCTTTACAAATCGAGTTGTCTGATCCAAAGGCTACTCCAGGTAAGGACCTATATAATTTTACACGTATAATAATATATATATATATGCACACACATTCAGTAGTTTCATGTAATAAGTTCATCATCAAGTAGTTCAATCAGTTGTCGTGTTTTAGGCGAAACTATTTTAACGAAAGTTATAAAAACATTTGCCCAAAACAAATTACACATGCAATTTCCATGGTATAATCTCAAGGTCTGAAAAGGTAAAGTTTAGTTTCTTTAGTTTCGACAGGTCCTCTTCCTCCTCAAGACACAAGGAATGAAGAAACGGAAACAAGAGTTAGTAGGAGGAGTGAACTGTACATGAGCTCCAAGGAATGGCTCAAGGTAGGTACCTTATGACAGAAATGCAGATAAAGCACAGTATTGTTAATGGTTTTCATATGGAGTATCAATAGAGTAGTGATTAAACAATCAATTAATCAAATCAGCTAATTCTCAAACGTTTCTGATTCCTTATTTTCTTGTGTCATCTCAGCATCATGGGCTCAAAAACCGTAAATTAGGTTTCTATGACCTTCTACAAACCCTCGCTTTCAAGCACTGTGATGGTGTAGTTGATATTCAGCGTCCACCAGATGTAAATGGCACAGATGCGGTGAGTATAGCATACACCCAAAAAACGATAGATCAACTGGTAGAGCACAAGTTCCCTTTTATATGATTCTGACAGGCTACATTAGTGGGTTGTTCCCACTCTCGTCTTCTTCTAAAATTGTTACCTTGAATGCATCTATCAAGAACTGGACATGTCTTATTTAGTCGGCTCGTCTAGTTTTCATATTCTTTTGAATGTTTTTTCCCCAGATTGTCCGTCCTAAGTTGATCAACGCACGTTATTGTGATAAATTTGCTCACGTTCGCTGGAAAGACGGCACGATCATGCACGTACATGTCAGCGGTCCTGTACATCGCAACTATGAACAGAGAATGCTTTCTAGTCTGGATTCCTACAGGAAAAGGTTTGTCTGTCTTACCTAACGGCACTGTTTTCCATCCAAACCAGGCGATGCTAGAGGGTTTTTAGCTACTGCAAATCAAAATAATCATCAACTCTGATTGTGTAAACTTTCATTGACGCGTAACGATGTTGGCAAAATGTGGGGATTCCCATTGAAGATTTGGATTTCCCACCAAATTAAACTTATAGCTGTTTCCGTATAATTTGCCTGTTTCACTAATCATTTTACTGATTCACAGAATCGAATGGCTCCAACAAGGCAGCCGAGAGCTGTTCGGTACGATCATTGAAGATCAGGTGACAATTCTCATCGATACCTCGGCGTCCATGGCTTCTCGTTTGTTTCTGGTGAAGGACAAGCTTTATCGTCTAATGCAGGTATGTAGAGAGGTAAACCTTGTTTGCTCAATGCTTTATCTAACAGTAACCTAAATGGTATTCTTTTCCTCTTTCCATTGTCACCAAACAATATCCCTAAATATCCCTACGTATACTGTACGCGTTACTGATAAAGAAAGTAATAATAATCGAGGGAAAGACGTGGTTTGGAAAGAAATCCCGCTATGTCTGGGTTTGAGGTTCAGGCATGCCATTAGGTCTTGGTCACCTGTCTCCATACCTTTTGCGTGCATAGGTAATAATGATTATATTTTGTTTACACAGGAACAACTTCGTCATAAGGTGAAATTTAACCTGATGAAGTTTGACAGTCGAGTCCAGGCTTGGCGTGATAGACTTGTGGACTGCAATACTCACGTAAGATCTTATTTTTGTATTGCACTATATGTACATTAGATGCATTTACTCAGGTTTATCCTCATTTCATCATCAGAGAAATGAAGGACTTTTGAAGTATTGTTTTATTATGGACTGATCGATCTTAATGTTCACAATTTTGTTACATTTGTAATCCATGGGCGTACTCGCCTGAATCAAAATCCCGCCTTGTTCTGGAAGTCCCTTTCTGCAAGTCTATTACATTTAAATCATCTTATTTCAATCGTATAGTCGACTGTTTCTGGAACGCCATTTGTAAAACAGCCTCTCCTATTTTTTTATTCAGCTTTTCTTCATTTAAATTGTTTCTAAGGCTGAAATACTGCGATCTCCTTAACAGCGTATTTGATATCGATTTGCCTTGCACGTGGCTTGCACGTGGTCACTAGTGTCCGTGCCACAGATAATAGTATATTTACTTATTTTGTTTTATTTTATTGTATAGTAATGAGTATCCTCAAGGGAAGTGCCTTGCACGGGACTTAGATTCCCGTTCGCGCTCTCCTAGCCTCCTCCGCAGGCTTCTCTGTAGCTTTCTCTAGCTAATTTCTCTAGCTATTATTGAGCCGGAGTCTGGGAACGAAGAAGCAAAAAACTAGCACTCTCGGTTTTCGCTTGAAAAGGAAGCCCGCTCGCTAGAGAGATATAGTATGTGAGAGTTTATAGAGTTGCATGCGGAGGAGGCTAGCGCTCTCCCTATTGGGTAGTCTTTTACATTTATTTTTCTAATTATGTACACATGTACCTTAGTTATAGCTTTACTCAATAAAGTTGTTTAAAAAAATCTTATAAACAAAAGATAAAAGAAGTCACAACTTCCAATACAAAGCTGGACTTATCTGTCAAACATTTAGTCAGTATATCGTAATTAGTATGTTTGTTGTGGATTGAAATAACCCCATTGGTTTATGTCCTGTGTTTCAGAATCTAGACAACGCTTGGCAATGGGTGAAAGGGCTAAGTACAGGAGGATCAACGAACACACTGGCTGCCCTGAAACAAGCTTTGAATGATCCGCAATGCCGTGCAATCTATCTTCTCACTGATGGACGGCCAGATCAGGTAATCTATTGGGTAATATATGACTCATGCCTTCTGATTGGCTAACACAGATATGAAACCAATATCAAACCCAGACGCTGAAGCTTCCAGTGTCTCCCCTTGATTGTGAACAAAGTAGCTCCACTTTTCTATTGTACAAATACTTGATTATACAGACTAATAAACTAATCTTGTCCTTTCCCAGCCCCCTTCATCGATACACGCCCAAATACATCTTCTCGACCCAGTTCCCATTCACACTATCTCGTTTAACTGTGCTGATACCGAGGCTAATGAGTTCCTCTGTCAGTTGTCTGTTGCCACGAACGCCAGGTATTTAGTTTACGACTTATTGATTGTTGTTGTTGTCGTTGCATGCTTTGTCTATTCCACTGTATCTTATACTTACATGTCTGTCTTCAGGTTTCATTACTTTTCTGAGGATGGTTACGACATCAATGGGCCCAAACCATTCGAGGTAAACACGTAACAACATCTAGCAAAAATATGAACAATAAGACACACATAAGAAGTGAACACTAGAAAGTATACTGAAGTGACTAATGTAACCAACTGATGTAGAGAGTACAAGATACCAATATAGGGACACCATAAGTAGTGATAAGAACATGTCAGTAGCTTATAGATGGTTTTCATTTTCTCTCAGAGCGAAGATCTTCGTTTATTACGAGAAGAAATTGAGAAAGGCCTCAGTGATTTAAAGAAAGTAGCCATGATAAGAAACGAATGTGCGCAGCTCGACTGGTACGGCTCTAACACTGGACGGTGCTCCAAGTATGTTATGCATATTGAACAATTATAAGTAGTATTGAAGGATGATGATGATGCATGATGATAATGATGTATGATGGTGATGATATGCTAAACATGATGATGTATATGCTAACCATGATGACGTTTAATGTATATTATAATATATGATGACGACATATATAAGTATGTTTTCGATGGTGACGTATGATGATGATGATGATGATGATGATGATGACAAAGATGATTATAGAAACGATAAAGATACTGTTAAAGATGTTGGGAATAATGATGTGATGTTTTTGTTCAATGCCGCTTGTCTTACAAATACAGCAGTAAACGTTCGGGTCGATCTCATATAACATATTAATTTCCAACTTATTGACATTCTTTTATGAATTCAAGGAGCCACCCAAGGTCTGTCAGTGGTCCTCAACGTCCAACGTCGGCACATCACCTGACTCCCTCTCCTCCTAACAGCATACGTCCTTCAAGCGTGCGCAACCGACCTACCAGTGCGCGCTCGCTTCCAGCACGTACTGGCATCTCCCACAGCAGTTTTAAAGACTACATTGTCAGCACTGCAACTAAAGACATCCCTACACGTAGATCTTCCACCGGAAGGACCCTGATTGCATCCGAGACGCGTTCTAGTCAACTACGACTTAACTTGATGAAGAAAACTAGCAATGATTGGATGTTGTCTGAAACTCGAGAGTATCTGACGAAGAGACCAGAGGACTTGAAAAGGAACAAGCGCAAAACTAAAGGTAGGCAAACACGAGATTTAACTCATGCGGATTAATAGGTATTTCCATATTTGATAGAGCAGCCTTTCTATACTAAAGAAAGGTTTAAGAGCCATCGTTTTGTTAATGTATTGAGTGTAGGGGGTTATTTGTTGGTATTGGCAGAAGGTGGTGAAGGTTAAAAATCCAAACATTAACTAACAATAATCCGCCAAATATCGGGGAACATTTACGCGAGACGCGAATAATTGTTTTAGTATTTTTAGTATATTGTTCTAGTACAAGTAAATTTAATAAATAACGGAGAGAGTTTTTTCCCCAATTTTATCTCTGCAAGCGACACAAATCGACAAACGAGCGAGCGCGTGCGCGTTATATGTATGTGAAATTGTGACCAACGAGCGGGCCGGATTTATTATATTCATTGGCGTAAAAATACTTGAATACGCGGTATCACACTTGAATCACTCTCTACATCAATACTGATTACACTTAGTTTGTCACTAAAAAATAATTTCGTTGGTATCGAGAAAGATTTAGTTATTATATTTACTCCAATCCTTTACCAGGGAAAACAAGAAAACGAAAACCAGGAAGCCCAAAAGAGGAAGAAGAAGAAGAGTAAGTTATTGTTATAATCAGCTGTAGATTGTTTTGTTATGTAGCAGCAGTACGCGTGCTCTGATTGGTCGAGAACTGTGCTTCATTAGTGAACGGATCACGGTTGCTGACGCTTATCCACGCGCACGTAGCAAACTTTACAAAGAATTGCTAGGAAACATTTAAGAAGTTAAGCTGGACGGAATTGTTTTAATATTTTGGTATTACATCGTATTTTTCAACATTTATTTTTGTTCTTTTCCACAGTTATGACATGTCCGTAAAAAAGTAAGTAAAACTGTTCTTCTTGATATCAAGATATCCAATCCTTTGGTGGTCCAAMGTTGCTTGCCGCGTACGCTTGATTCATGTTCTGTTCTATTCCTTGTAGATGGTTAAAGAAGCATGGTCTGGTCGCCCGTAAACTGACAATACTGGATGCTCTCTCTCCTACCCTTATTCCTCATACTACTAAATATGTACCAATACTTGACAAACATATCTTGTCTAAAGTCTTCGATCAGGTATTGCTACTGATTTATCCTGTAAAGTTCTTTTATATTGATGCTCAAATAGYTTTTGTCTTGGGGGTACATCGAGGTTCTTCCTTTGCACCACATTTATCAATGACATTGGAAATAACTGTTATAGTACTTACTCGTATATTGATCCATAAAGATATTTTGTCTTGGTGTACCTCAGGTTCTGCCTTTGGCCCACACTTCAGGCAGTAATCGTGGCGAAGTTCAGCTTGTCAATCCACAAGGGGTTAATCTAAAGGCTTATGAAACCAAGTTGGAAGAAGCTATCGGACTTTACACAAGGTAAGAAAAGATTTTATTCATGTGTAATAGTGCCCCAAGGTGCCCCCCCCCCCCCCCCCCCCCCCCCCCCCCCAACCCCTCTCCCAGGTGCAGGCAAACGCCTCCCTCTACCAAATCGTTGAAATGAAATAAGATCCGGCAACTAAAGAACTTGTCTTACATTGCTTCTCTTAATYGTTATAGGAAGTTGGACGAGTTGGTATATTTCGGTCTAAGTGACCAAGAAAGAGTCAAGTAAGTTACTAAATAAGCAAATCGTGTGTCAATCAATTTGCGCGCTAGACCATAATAGCTACTAGAACTGTTAATTAAAGGCATTGTGGCCTCATGACGATAGCATAAGTCGCGCATGTGACATTCAAGGTTTGCGTTCTCAAAAATAGGAAAGAATGTACTGCACGAGTTCTATTGAGAATTGCAATCTTGAAAAAAAACCCACACTCATTGTTAAGTTTTCATATTTCATGAAATGGCAACATTCTGGTTCCATGCGAACAACATACAAATATATAACATTCTCTTTGTCATAGGTATCCCGAAGATCGTGTCCCGTCATTTTCAGAAAACAGAGAATCAATGATGAATGACTTGGAGAATCAAGGCTGGCAAGTAAGCAAGGAAGATATCTTACTGTTGGAAAAAGAGATTCAGCAAGCAAATACTTTCTTAGCTCAATCTAAAGATCTCAGGAAAGCATCTGAACAGGTAGGGGGTCCGCAGACCTTATTTTACAGCAAGACCTTTGTTTTCATCCACCATGCTGTTGAATATTCGTGATGAAATGATATGATTGACATTCATCTTTGTCCAGGCTGCTCGAGAAATCGCTGAACAACAAAAGAAAGCCCGCGAAGAAATGGAGACCAAAAGAATCGAACAAATCAGAACCAAGGTATAGCATTTAAAGGAGCAGGCGTAGCTCAGTTGGTTAGTGCGCGACCTTCAGAGCTAGAGGTCCATAGTTCGATCCTAAGGAACTCCACGTCTGTTTCGACTTCTCTCTGTTCTGTGTAGCTTTAAATACCCGTAAAAAGGAGCACTGATAGTAAGAGGGGGTAGAGGGCACACCTTCGAGCGCATTAAACATGAGCCCTTGGCTCGGGAGAATTGGGCAACCACTCCCCCGCGTTATCGAAGTAAAATAAACTACCTTTACCTTTACCTTTTTGAGTCCTTTTTGCGTTAAATTTCCTGTGTTCTCATTGGATGTTTGTGCTGTTTTTCTATTATGAACCTATTTATTACTATCCTATCATGTCCCGAATACATGTTTTGACAAACCTGAATTTCAAGCCTATTGCTAAAGCACATTCTTTATCTCAACAGAGCGCACTAATGGCCTCAGCACCTACCTATCCTACCCCCCAGGGGAATAAATATCGTCTACGTCACCACAAGGTTATAGCCCGTAATGAGGTGGATGGGTTTTATTATCCGGGACTCGTTAAAAAGTGTGTGAACTCTCGTTACGTGGAGGTGGACTTGGAAAACTACGACAGACAACTAGTGGCAGTTCGTTACGTGATACCAATAGAAGGTGCACGACCTTGTCCTTCACTCAAGGTATGTGCAATTATCTGACATCAGAAAAAAATAATCGAACAAAAGGATCAATACGAGTTTAATA